GTTTACTATTGGTTCAATGCCCACATACTCTGTCTGGTCCCTTGGGCCTTAGGTAAGGTCAAAAATGGGAGGGGAAATAATAAATTCGAATGAAAAAGAACAAAAAAAAAAAAAAAAGAATTATTGCGAAAAGGGAAAAGAGAAGCCTTACTCAGAATACACCGAGTGGAGATGAATGGTGGTGCTGGACAAATAGAGAAGAATGTTATGGAACCACGGCGTGTGTTAAAGTCATCTCGGAACCACATTTCTCTGAGAACAAATTCTTGAGGACAGAGATGGTAAAACCCTCAGACCTGGTGGTAACCTATGACTCTTAAATGATAACGACTCCATATCTGGCCCGCAAGACAGCTGAATATAAAAACCGAAAGGAGTTTAAGGTATGATGCTGAAGGGGGAATGATGACAGCAAGAGAAGGTCGGATGATGAGCAGACTAGGGGGGCAGCAGTAACCGCACGTCGGGTGCTGCCATCTTTTGCCTCTTCAACCATGATTCGTGATCCGCCGTTCACTTTGGCAAAACCGGGAAAATCTTCGACAGCCTGAGGTTTGAAAGTCTGCAGTGCGCGAGCTATACCCAATGGGGCAGCTAACCAGTCGGTGACAACATTTCGAATGTCTGGTTCGCACTTGAATGCCCTTAGAAGGTGTCCCTTTTTCTTTTTCTTTTTCGTTTCTTACCCCAACCTTTCTTCATTTCCTTTTTCTCTCTTTCTTTTATTTTTGATTAAATGAAATCACTTAAAAATTAAATTAGAATTTCTGCTGTACCAACAGGAACAGCCCAATTTTTCAATATTCTAGAAAAAAGTAAAAGAAAAACCTTGCTTCATCATTCTATCTCCTTTTGTAGTATGGATCGTATCCTTATACTCCGTAGCAGGACATGTACGATAGGTATCGATGGACGAATACCAGAGATAAGCTAATGGTTTCAGATATTTGCGTCTTATCTCCAAGACGGAGTACTCTGCTCCTCCTCACGCTAACCCTCAATATCCCTCATAGATGCATGAATCGTTCCCAAAGATGTGAACTCGATCTCCGCCACCTCCTCTTTTCCCCCATTCTTAACTGTCGGTCTACCCGGTGGAAAGGTGGGGTTATACTCTGGCCCTCCAACCGGAAATGTCACTTGTCGCCATCTCGAGGGTCGATCATCGAGTGTTTATCGCGGTTAATGAGTTGACTATCGATCACTTAACCTGACTCGGTGTTTGGGAATAACCAGCCATCCAGAGTGGCAGCCGATCTCTTGTTTCAAATGTCAATGCATCTTTTGGGTCAACGATGCCGTCGAGTCTACCGTACCGAACCTCCTCATTGCCTGCCTTATTCCGTACGATGCAGTTCCTGTGCAGCTCGCCTTGAGTTGCCCCCTTACTGCTTATTTTCCAGATTCTAACTTACTTTACTCATGGGTCTCTCGACTTGCTTTCTAGAAGGGCCCGGCAACTGGGCGCCGTAGGCCGAAATAATATGCGGCCTCGTTGGCGGCAGTGCTGATTTACAGCGAATCGCTTACGCATACAGCCGCATCTCCATGTTGCACTAGAAGGAAACAAGCATATTGTTACTTGAATGATTCACCATCTCCTTGTTGTCTTTCTGTCAGGAGGTTTGGTTGGAGTAATGGAGTTGGGTAAGATTAGCCCTAACAGCCATAGGGCATACACCGCCCTTCGTATTATAGGAATCCCTGGAAGCCCAACGGACTGGCCGAAACGCCATTCTATTTATTGATGTATTCTTATGTTTCTTGGTTGCTCCCCCATCTGGTTATAGCTGCTGCTCATTACCGTAAACTGTTCAAAGTTACACCAGGTCACTGCGGATGTACGCTTCAAGTGCGAGAGTCCAAGTTTCGGTTAGACGGTAAGATCAGCCGGCCACCATTCTCCTGCCACATTCAGGGTGGCTTAACCAAAAGGCGCACCTCCGAAAACTTGTCTTCAGCTTATCGGAGATATTTTCGTAATGGGCATTGATGATCTAATAAAAGACAAATGAATATTCCGATGCCAAACGCCGAATTCCTCTAATTAAATCAATAAAACCATGCAACGATGTTGTTCTCCTTCCCCCCTACCGTTAGAGTTACGGCTATCTACCAGGAGTTATTGGGAAAAGATCTCCACGAATTGTACCTGGGTCAAGAAGAACCAGCTCCCCCTTCACCCGCAATCACCCGTCAATCAAATCTCATATCTTCCCGGTCGGCCAAGGGAGGATCGTGCATCTGAGGCTACTTGGACGCAGTCAGTAGGTCAGTCACCTGCAAGCTGCAGCGTGGTGTCAGCGATCTACAGCATGCAGCATTCTTTTTGTCACCAGAAGAGCTCAGAGGGCTTCCATAGGCCCACCGCGTTGAGGTTCTCCAGCCTCTTGAAATGGAGGGTTGGCGATGGGTGGAAACTCTACTCGGAAAGCAGCAGCTTTGGTCGGGTTACCATTGCGCTTCCCCTCCATCGAGTTGCATTTGATGAGAAAATGCGGAGCCCTCTTACCATCCGGGGCACACCGATGGTGAGGAGGGGTTCGAGAATATCCTTTCGACCGTCCATCCTGACATGTGAATCGCGAATAAAAGCAGGTCATCGACATTCGGTACGTCAGAGACTATGTCCGTGCATGCCGTATCGTGCTTGTGAATCATCCGGCATGTTGCCTGGAGGCTTGATGAGAATGTTCCGATCCCAACCAAAACGCACTGCTCCCTTCATAGACTTGGTTTGCATGGGCGAATGACCTGGCCGAACCGAATTCTTCCTTCAGCACGTAGGCCGCTATGACCAATTCTGGATATTACCATCGGGGATGGCTGCAAGTAAAAAAGATGACGTTTCCGAAAAGGGAGAGAGAGGGACCAAATCCAATGACATCATGCGGCAGGCACCTAAGCCACAGCCCACCTTCCGATCTCAAATAGTTGCCAAGAGAGACCACTCAGTTTAGGGCTCCCGTGGTCGAAGAAATTGGCCCCCCCACGTGGCGCGGTGACGGTGGTCTTGTTGAAGCCTCAGGCATATGTTTAATACACGTGACTTGGCTCGCCCGGGTGCGGAGAAACCGGGACTCCGCTCATCACTGGCGCGCTCCCGGAAGGGCAAACGCCCAAGGGCATCCTCATCCCGTACATTCTGTTTTTGGCTGTCGTTCCCCACTCTGAACAGCTGCTGTCGCGATGGCGAGGAAGCTTAGAGCGGCTGCACAGGCAGCACAACAGTCGCTGAGTATGTTTATCTCACTTCCCTTGGTCTTTTTGTCCCGTGCCCCAATCCTACAAAAATCGCACTCACGGGCGCGTCCACTGACAGCTCCACAGGGAATGCTCCTCCTCCGCTCCCCGATGCCTCCGATGAGGAAATGGCTGAAGCGCCTCCGTCGCGTGGGTCTTCACCCGCCATAGAAGATCCAGGCGATGCGTCCGACAAGGATCCCGATGTTGTCCCCGAACCCGACCCGCCACAGGAAGACGAGCCTGCCGCCGTCACCAATCCTCCATCGCGCGGCGACACTCCAACCCGTGGCCGTGTGTCCGCCATTCCGCGAAAACGACGTATCGGCCGTCCCCCGAAGAACCGCCCCCCAGACTGGGATCTGCCTGACGATGGTACGGCGCCGCCGCCGATTCATGTAAGCACGCCTGTGAAGAGGAGACGTGGGCGTCCTGCAGCTAGTGGCGGACGATGGGCTCGGAATCGGGGACCGTCGCATGTAACCCAGGTGCCGATTGATAAGGAAGGGAATATGATGGACGTCATTGATGATGAAGTGGCCCTGCCCGATGACCCTGAGGGCGAGACTAAAGTCGACAAGAACGGCGTTCTGAAGGGCGACCGAGAGTATCGAGTTCGTACGTTCACGATCCTTAATCGTGGTGAGAAGCATTACATGTTGTCGACAGAGCCAGCTCGATGTATCGGGTTTAGAGACTCCTACCTGTTCTTTCAGAAACACAAGCTTCTTTACAAGATTATCATTGATGACGACGCTAAGCGTGATCTCATTGAAAGAGAGATCATACCTCATTCGTACAAGGGTCGAGCCATTGGTGTGGTAACCGCTCGGTCCGTGTTTAGGGAATTTGGCGCCAAAATCATCGTTGGTGGCAGGAAGGTCATTGATGACTACAACGTCAAGGCAGCCAGGGAACGGGGTGATGTCGAGGGTGAACTCGCAGTACCGGAGGATAAGCTTCCCCCTCCGGGAGAGCCATATAACAAGAATCAGTATGTGGCGTGGCACGGAGCTAGTAGCGTCTATCACACACAGGCACCATCGGTTCCTCTGCCTACTGGCAAGGCCGTCGATTCTAAGAAGCGGAAAGTGACTGTCACCGGTGATAACTGGATGCTGGAACATGCCCGAGAAGCCAGGTAAGCGCCACCGCTTTGTTGACCTACCAGCATGCTAATCATCCCATAGCCATTACAATTCACTCCTTTCGAACGTACGTCGCGAAAACCTTGGGGGTGTATACGATATCCATACGAATGCTATGCAGTACCCCAAAATCATGCAGCCCTCACACGCTCGTTGGGAGCGTCTACCACCTCCGGATCCTCGAGTAGCGACCAAGTTGACCAAGGAGATGTCGACATTGAGTCTCACCAATGGAGTTGAAGAGGAGGAACCAACTACTGAAAGTGACGCGCAAGAGGAGAAGACCAACGAGGAAACGAGCCACGACTCTATTTTCTCAACGGTTCCCTACGCCTTTTCTCGTCGTTTCGCCATCCACGATGTTCATTACGAAACCCCACCATATTCCAATATGGGCATTCCTGGGCCTGACGGCGACGTGCATGATCTCGGCTCAAACGGTATCATCAGCACTGCCAACCTATCATATCCCGAATTTGTGAGTCCCGAGATCCTGGCAGAGCTACCCGCGGACTGCAAGGAGGCTCTTGTCGAGGCCGCTGCGCGCGAGTGGGAATGGAAGTCCAAATGGCACAGTGAGGTGGGCGACGGCGCTCGCACAACTCCGCTCAAGAGTTATGCCTGGTTTCCTTGACCTGGTCGTGTTCTTGCTGTTTAATTTCTTTCTATGTACGACACATTGTGCTTGGTTTTGGGCCGGTTTTTATGGGTGGCATGAGAAAATGGGAGTTCTTCTGCGTTTGCTTCGGCGGTATATTATGTTCCAATGTTTCTTCATTTAATGTCTCTTCCCTGATACCTTAGAGAGACAGCGGCAGGCAGGTTTGCCGTTATATGGATGTCATGTCGATGACAGATTAGACAATTCAATCGATATTTCTAAGTGGCAGGGCCCGAAACATGTCTGACCTAGATTGACAACTGCCGCGGTGCATTTTAGTCCAAGGATTATATTAGGGTTGGTCCAGACAGCCCGTTCTAGGAAATTGGTGGTAGATCGTTGAATCATAGACTAGACCACAAAGTAAGGTATCTAGTAAAATAGACGCTAAAGTTGAATGCTATCATTGCTGATTAATCTTTTACGAATGGGAGTACTTTACTCGTATTTCTCACGGGGGGTTGTGTAAGTGATGGGTTGCAAATTTATATCTATCTTCGTTCTTCAGAGTACTCTACGCTGTCAAAAATCATGTGCCTCTCTTGGTATTTAGAGTATTAATCATGATGAACTTCGTAATTCAATTAACCGACGCTTAATGATTATATGGAATAGAATGGGCTAGCAAAGTGAGAAAAGAAGACAACTTGGGAAAGAAAGAGCAAAATAATGGACGCAGTTTATCCCATGGCCATCTCTGCGCGCAGCTTCTCCAGTTCTGCTTCCTCGTCTTCTTCCTCTTGTACCTTTGCTTTGCCTTTGGCTGTAATCCAAGATCAGGTTAGATACTTTTCTGCGTAATATATTCATTTCACATAGGGAGGACTTACGTTCGCCGTTCGCCGCGGCCGGTAACTGATTGAGTTGATCTGCAACCGGTACTCTCCCTGTGTGAAGCATCCGCTCGTCCATCGTCTCCTGTTCCAGCTCTTCGAGCTCGGCCTCCAGCTCGGTCTCGTCTGCCTGTTCGCCAATCTGGGTGTTTGTGATAGCCTGTGCGATTTCCTCGCTGAGTTGGTGTTGCTCGCGGAGTTGGTCCCTGTGTCCCCGTCAGCGGCGTGGGTCCCCCAAAGAGCAATAGGGGAGTATATCCAATAGTAAAATACGCACATCGTCTCATCAACCTTATCAATAGTCAAGTTACCATGGATCTGCGTCATCGCCGCGCCGGCCTGCTTCATCGCGTTCAGAGTCTCCTGGTTGATATTCGCCGCTTCGATCGAATATATCTGTTGTTCTAGCTGGATGATCTGCGCCGTCGTCTGTTCGAGGTTCTTCTCGTGTACCTTCTTACGTCGCAGGGCAGATTTGGCCGCTTGACGATATCAGTCTCGTTGACTCCGGTAACGGGGAACAGAGCACAGCGATAAGGAAAAAGAAAGGAACCCCCATACCGTTCTTATTTGTCGTCACGTTCTTCCTGGCCACGGCATCCTGCTCCTCCATCAGGTTCTCCAGATGCTTCTCGCGCTTCTGCAGCATATCCAGCTGCTCCCGGAGCTTGAGGATCGCATCCTTAGGCGCATCCTTCCGCTTCTGGGCTGCCGAGCCGCCAAACCATGACCACATCTTGATAAGCGGTTTTTGGGTTTACGTTGTGCTTTTCTCCCAGTTCCAATTCCTGAAATGTAGAATTATAGTTAGGGTATTCACTATCCAAGTGCGTATGGTCCTCGACGCTCGGGACTAGAAATCGATAGAAAGTGGTGGAGTCAGGCAGGCAAGATAATAGGCAGAGAGAGAGAGGGGGGCGGCGGTGGTCGAGTCCGGGTGGTGTCGTAGGCTGTCGCGAAATGCAATATCGGGGACAATCGATCTCCGACGAAACAATGAATAGGTCTAGAGGGGTTGTTGCTCAGCGCGGAATAGATCAAGGCAACAACAAATATTAGACAACGATTAGGAATTCACGATGGCGGATGAGATCCGTTTTCCCCCTCCGTTGGCCCTATGACATACGCGCTAAGCCTATCGGAGACGGCAGGTCACGTGGGGATAATCGATTCGTGGATTCTGTTTTGGGTTTAGTCTATCTTTGGGGCCGACGGAAGTACATCTTCTGCCCTCTGGAGTTTGGACTACTAGTATTCTCCAGGTTGCGACGAACTTTTGATTCGGGGATTATGTCTGTTACGCTCATATGAGTTGAGGGATGAATGGCCCTCCTCCTTCCACGAGAGTTTTTCTCTCTAGTGTTCCTTCTCTTCCTGCTGGTTTGAAGGTTCGGTTTCTTGGTTGGTGCGTAGATTGGCCAATGCTGGGATATCTAGCCCAGACCGTACATGCATAATATAAAAGCTAACCACGCGACTAACGATAGCGTAAAGACTTATAATGTCGCCACGGGCCACCTCATCTTAGAACATAATTACCCCCGCTGTAAACCAAGCCAGGAACCGCCCTGCATCCCCGTCGACGTCAATGCCGTTCTGCAAACGGTGACGGCGGACGAGCTGCGGGTTGGGGCGTGGGTGAACGTGCTCGGGTACGTGAGAAGAGAAGAGTCCTCGGTCTACGTGGAGGCAGTCATGGTATTCCGAGCCGGCGCAATTGCGGTGGGAGAGTACGAGAGGATCCTGCATCATTCGTTGGAAGTGGATCGAAGGGTGCAGCGACCTGGATGATATCTATTTTCTTCCAATCGACAGGAATATGCAAAGCAGGATGGTGCTGACTTTGAACTAAGTCACATTTTCACTCTTTATCTAAATTGAACACACTATTCATTATGATTATCTTGAACACATGGCTTCGTTGCCATACATGCGATGTTGTATATGCGCTTTGAAATCGAACCGAACGCCAAACGGGGGAATAACTCGAACTTTTGGGAAATTACCGTTGAATGCAGAATATGCTGTTTGCTTTTTGTGTCACTCTTCATGATTTCTCGCAGTGCAGATGCTGATGCAGTTTAAACCTCCGTCTTCTCCTTCTCGGTTGCCTCTGCGTTCGCTTTCGCCTCCAGTCGCTGTTGGAGACGCAATCGCTTCCCCTCCAATCTCTTCTTGTCCTCCTGCATCTGCACAATCAAGGCACTCTTCCGCCGGATCTTGTATCCATACTTGTAGAACACAATCGGAATCGGAATAATAGCAACCTCAAGCAGCCCAAGTAATGTCCCAGACCAATTAGGTCCAATCCCGGCATAGAGATACGTACCCACCAAGGGCAAAACGCCGCCGAGGATACTACGAATAACAGAATTGCCCGCCATGGCGGATGCAGCGTACACTCCATAACTATACGACAGATAATTCGACGCATAGATGAACACGCCCGTGTTCCCAGCGCCGAATGGAACTCCCGCGAGGATGGGCACGATCCAGTGGATGGATGCCGGGGCGCACGTCCATGCGAACCAGAGCTCGCCGGCGGGGATTAAGATGGCGGAAATGCATACGATCGAGACCATGGCTTCTGGGGCCACTTTCCCCGTCTCGGGGTCGATTGCGTGGTTGTTGATCATGCGGCGGATTAGGGGTTCGCAGGCGATGGTTATGAGGCTGCCGATGCCGATGCCCAGGAAGGCGAGGCCTGAGAGTCCGAGGGACCAGCCGCGAATGTCACGGAAGACGATGGGATAAGCGGTGAAGCAGAGGTACAGGATGCCGTAGACGATTGCGATGTAGATGTTCCAGAAGATGCTGGTATGGGTTGTTAGTTCTGTGGGCCTGCGAGATGTGACGGAAATCTTACCAGATAGGCTCGGTGACAGCCATGACGAAAGGCCGTCCCAGATTCACTTTCAGGATCTCGCCTAGACTAGCCTTTTGGTCGTATCGGCTCCAGTAGGGGTCACCGGTCTCTTTACGCATGCGGGCAGCTTTCTTCTGGAGTATCATGGGCCCGTATGTCTCTTTCATTATCAATGACAGTACTAGAGCGACGCCGGATAGTATCAGCGCGATCCAGTCCATCCAACGCCAGCCAAGATACTGCGTGACAAAGCCTCCAATAATGGGCCCCAAGACTGAGAGGTTATTAGTTATGAGCCATATTGCATCGGATGGCATATGGATACGAACCTGGGCCATTTACGGGGCCGATACTCCAAATCGACATGGCGAGGGCTCGCTCTTCATCATTAACTAGATCTGACACCATTCCTGGCGCAGTTGAGATCATCACACTACCAAAGAAAGCCCCAATGAATCGTACAACGATGAGAGTAACTACAGACTCTGCGCGTGCACAAGGTATGATCAAGACCATGAAAACAAACAAGCAACCCACAGATACGGGCTTTCGACCGTACACCTCACTCAAGGGTGCCATAAACATAGAGCCAACAGCAAGGCCGATAAGATATAGAGTAAGGCCTAATGTAACAATGGTGTTTGAAGTCCCAAACTCGGCCGCGATGTCTGCGATGCCAGAGGTATATGACGTGGAGTACAAGACACTGATTACCGTTAGGCACGTTTACTTCTCATAATCAAAAAATGGAATTTGGTGGAAGGACTTACACGACCAGAGTGTTCCAGGACAGAAACGCAATCGCCATCCCTTTGTACCTGAGTGACCAGTTCTTGGGGTTCATCTGGTCATTTTCATCCTCAAAGTCGACTTCATACCTCGGGTCCGACGTTGCGTTAGTACCGATAGTGGTGGTCTTTCTGGCCAAAGACATCGACTGTCGCGAAGCTTGTGTGACAATTTGTTGCAGTTCTTCGGTATCCTCCGTCGACGTAGACCCGGCAAGAGAATTGGTATCTGCCGGCGAAGCATCCTCCTGGGTATTTTGGGGCCATTTCTCGCAATCGGAAGGGTGATGCTTCGAGGAAGACATCCTGCCTGAGAATGTCCGTGACAGAAAGTTGAACTCTTTGGAGCCCTACCCAATGAGTCACACTGGGCAGATTCCTGATCTATATGGCTTTCCACTGGAAAAATTGAGACGCAGGGTATTATGCGGGATCTTGATATGGCACATGAAACTCTTACAGACGGACAAGAACATGGATTAAAGA